TCTGCCTTTCATAAATGCTCCACCATCTGATCGCAATACAGTTTTTACAGCATTGCTCACTTCGATAGAACAGAGCAAATCGATGAATCAACCAGCAACTGTTTAACACCTTGGATCAGCCTTTATACCTAAAGGCAAGATTTATAGTAGTTTGCCAAGAAGGAGATCCCTGTTTTGATAATGCAATCATTAGGATAGGTGGGTTTCACCTTCTGATGTCATTCTTGAAGGCTATAGGCTACATAATGATTTGAAGGAGTTGTTCAATTCAATATATGCACTGCTCTCAACGGAGAAAATCCTGACAGGACATGCTTTTTCGAGAGCAATTTGAGCACATACGTTAGCCTATGTCACTCTAGCAAAAATTAACTTCGAGACAATTGATTCAACCCCAGACCTTCAAGAAAAACTTACAGCATCGTTAAATGATGCAGACAGATCACATACTTGAATAGGAAACGAAAAAGAGTGTGTAGAGGAATTAAAACCAAGTTTTCTGCACAGCTTCAAACCATAGCTAACCGTGGTGCTACCTCAAAGCTATGGATCCAATACTCTTCTTAAGCTATTCATTGAAGTTGAAAGAGCAGGGAACTGAAACCTCCACCTCCAAGTTGTTTTTCAAATGCTTCCGTACTTTTATGCTACCGGAGATTTATTGTATGTCAAATGTTGCCACCTCTACCTACAAGACATCCACAGTTGAAAGGATAAAATGAGCGCTCAGGAATACGCAATGTTCACGGGTGGCGGATTTACAGTACGAAAGACTAGTAAATTCTGGTATGGAACATGGACCGACATGACCATTGAGCAATCTCTAATTGCTGGAGGGCTCACGTGAAAGTATCCTCTGTAGTATATTTTGTGTATTTGTGAGGGAATGAAGAAGATGTAGGGAGTAGCACTCACTACTTCAGAACAACACGTGGAGATTAGGGAATTGAGAATTAAAAGGGATACAAGTGATTCGAAAAAGTTGATGGAGTGGTTCACGCAACATTATCCCTTGCCTGATTTCACAGACATCTTATCTCTTACCACTGGTGTTGTAGGAGACAATCGTCAACTGTCACATGGCTAAGGAGATTGGTCTTCTCGCAGTTGATAAAATTGTGTGCGGTGATTTTGAAACTGTAAAATTCTACAGGAAAGACAGAGTTTTGCCACTTGCTTCGATGAAAAATGCAATCCCACGACAATTTTTTTAAAGAATTACAATTGCTAAGCAATCTAATGAAGAATGAAGAGTTCTTAAAATACGAACTGTGCCCTTATCCGTTGCCTCTTTGTTGATGACTATGGTATGAGAAAAGGAACCAAGTCTTCTTTATACAAAGCATTCACACCAAGTGAACAGGCAAATGCAAGGGTGCATTTACGTCATAGATGGACGATACTTGCTGCACAGAGTCGTGTGGACTAGAGGTCAATCATTTGCATCAATTTGTAAAAGCTATGTTGCATCTGTTAAGTCCAAGTACAATGCTGTAGTCGTCTTCGATGGTTATCCTCAAGATGATACTAAGTATGCTGAGCGAGCAAGAAGATCACGCGAACAGATGACAGTAGATAGATAGGGAACAATGATCCCGACAGTGACACAAGGGAAATTCCTAGGCAATATGAAAAACAAAATCCGTCTTATTTCAATGTTGAAGGAAAACTTTGCAGCAGATGGAATTCAAACAAAACGGGCACAAGCGGATGCGGATCCACTTATTGTCACGATAGCAATGGATCTCGCACAACAGCATAGCTCTGTAATTATTGTGAGTGAAGATGTAGATTTGCTTGTGATCATGATTGGTCGTAGTCGGGGTATCAGGGCAAGCCCCGCACCGGACTGCTTCGACGTTGAAAAAATTAAGATTGAAACGGTCTCTTAAAGATACCAGCAAGAACTTGCCCGAAGAATAACAAACACAGAAACTTCAAGTGCTGAGGACATTGGAATAAACCTAAATCTGAAATGCTAGAAATTGCAACGCCAATTAGGCAAGAGAACAGACGGAAAAGGGCAAACTGGTTTGACGATCAGTGTAAAAGTGTCATAGAAGATCGGAACAATGCTCATAGAGGTTTACGTTGTGAGAACAAGAGAGAGAAGATATGCATTTGAACGCACAAGAAGAAGTTCTGACAAAACTTGCCGGAAAAAGAAGAGAAGATCTGAGAACGAGAAAATGCAACGACTGGAACATGACTTTGAAAACATTTTGAGGGAAGGATACAATTCACGCACAAACCTTTGTAGAAACAACGAAGCTTATTGAGATCGCAAGAAAATAATTAACAGTGGAAAATGCCAGATGCAGGGAAAATAGCGTAATTGATCGAGACGAGAGGTTTGGTATTTTGATTTTTGGTTCTAGCTGTAGATCTTCTTCCGAGCGCTTCTTCTGCTGCGTTTAGGAGATTTTACCGTAGTTTATTCCGTGAAATTTCCATGTCATAATCATCTCTAATCCCATTGTCGGCAATCTTTTCACTAGGGGCAATTCAGTCAACAAAATGGCTTGGAAATGGAATCGAGGAAGCGAAAACCCATACAATTTTATATATCGGAAAGGAGACTGGGAGTAGGGAGTTTGGAGTTGCCTTCATCGTAGATAACAAGATTAAACACATACTAGATTTCAAGGCGATAAAAGAGAAGCTGTGCAAACTAAGGTTAAAATCCAGGTTCTTCAACCTATCCATCATCAATGTCCATAGCCTAACAGAAGAACAAGATCTGAATGAATGTCCACAGGCCGAGAGGAACAATTTCTGAAAACCATAGGTAGATACTCACTCCAGAAAAGAACCAACCCAGAATGGAGAATTTCTAAATATTGCCAGCAGCAATAATATGGTTATGTGCTCTACCGTGATCCCTCATAAGAATATACACAAAGCTACGTGGATCATGCCAGGCGGAGCTGCCACTGACCAAATAAACAATGTCCTCATAGACAGAAGAGCAGCAACTAGCATAACTGACGTGGAAAGTCGACGAAGAGCATGCTGCGGGCCAGACCAGCTACTGTTGCAGGTGAAGTTCAGATGCTAAATATCTCGAAACAACATCAGGGCAGGCCCAACACCGGATACTACGGGCAAGTTGTAGCCCGAAGAATAACAAACACAGAAACTTCAAGTGCTGAGGACATTGGAATAAACTTAAATCTGAAATGCTAGAAACCGCAACACAAATACTAGGCAAGAAGACAGACAAAAAAGGGAGCACTGGTTTGACGATGAGTGTAGAAGGGCCATAGAAGGTCGGAACAATGCTTATAAGGCTTACGTTGTCAGAACAAGAGAGAGAAGATATGCATTTGAAGGGGCACGAAGAAGGGCTGACAAAACATGCTGAAAAAAGAAGAGAAAATGCAAGGACTGGAACATGACTTTGAAAACAATGATCTAAGGGTCTTTAAACATCTACGCAGTTTGAGAGAAGGATACAAACCACGAATAATCCTTTGTAGAAACAACGAAAAACAAATAACCAGTGATTCACAGCAAATCAAGGATATATTGAAAACATAATTCCAAAATTTATTAGGATCTCAAGAAAATGATCAACACCTGCAAATAGCTAGATTGAGGGGTAAGGGAGGAAGTGATTTAGACCTTAACGTTGGATGCCAAGTAGGCAATTAGTGTGCAGCGCAACAACAAGGCACCAGGACTTGACAAACTCCCCTCTAAACTGCGAAAACAGGGTACATGACATCAACATTCATAACGTCTTTATAGACTTTAAAAGAGTATGCGGTACCATCAATAGAGGTCGACTACATCAGGTTCTTCACAGCTTCAGAATGCCTCCCAAATATATCAGACTAGTAAAGGCCACAATGGACACTACAATGACGACAGTGCGAATACAAAATGACATGACTGACATGTTCAACATGAATGAAGGGCACAAGCAAGAAGATGGACCAGCTCCCACACATCCGAAAAATAGACGTAGACAGATAAAACCTATTAACATCTAAGTCAGTATAATTAGCGGCATACGCAGACGACAAGCGGCATACGCAGACGACTTAGACATCATGTCTCGTAGAGTAGAGGACACAGCAGAAATAAATATGAATCTGAAGGGAGAAGCCAAAAACATCAGACTCGAAATAAGTATGTCATGGATGCGAAACATGGTTATAACTGACAGCCTGAAAAGCAAACTGGAGATTTTTGAAAAACAAATTCTCTGAAAAATATATAGCGGCGTAAATAGGAATTAGATATGGAGAACACGCTACAATCAAGAACTATACCAACTGTCCAGGGAAGCTCCCATCTCAAAACTCATCAGGCTGCCAATGGGCGGGTCATGTGATTAGAATGCTAGAAGAGAGACTACCGTCTACCAAAAAGGGCACTTAGCCAAATGTATGGAAAAGGACCGAAAGGGAGGCCACCAATGAGATGGGAAGATGAGGTGGCATGGAACATCAGAGTATGGAGAAGAGAAGCCTTAGACCGCAACGTGTGAAGGCGGAAGATATCGGAGGCAAGGGCCAAATTTAGGCTGTAGCGCCATTGGAGAGAGAAAGATATATCGCGGAGATAGCACGAAACTGGGAAATACAGAAGGCGAGTACGAAAAAGTTATACAACTCCAAGAGAAGCAATATTTGAAACTTCAAGTCATAATTATACACATAAGGTGAAAAATTACAGTTTATTGGCCTTCCGTTTTTTGTAAAGCCCATGTGATCAGGAAGTGGAGAGGATATTTTTTTGTTTTGATATTGATATATTCGGAGATATACTAGAATATAGCTAAGTGTTAAGTGTGATTTTAAATGTGCTTCAAATAATAGTTAATCCAAACTTATTTCACAAATAAGTTTGACAGAGTCATTATAATCATCTCGAGATTACTAAAACAGTCCTTGAGCTCTACAACTACCCTGTTTCTACATATTTGAATTCAAAGTCAGATTGTGTTTCACAAAACCCTTTCATCCAAGTCCTGATTTGTCGTCGCGACTCACCTCGAACTGCTCCCCGGTAATTGTATGGCCGATTTGGAGCACGGAGTAATTCTCTGTGATAAAATTGAGCGTGAGCGCCGTGAAAGCGGCCATATACGCCAATCCTGATAAGACCATTATTAGTAAATATTTCAGCAAATCTGTATCTTTAACCACCTGAAAATTAAATTCGATTTAGTTGTTTGGTTCATATTTCTTTATTCCAATAAAATAACTGAAATTCTAATGAGAGTCACGATTCAGCATTTTTATTATGCTATCTCGCCCTAGTTTTCCTAAACCGTAAAATTTAAGGTTGCTCTGGGCGCTATTATTCAGAGAGAATGTGAAAAATTTTCTCAAATACGCTCCCCAGAAGCATATGAATATTTGAAAATACCCGTTTGCCTTCTTTAAATAATTCACTTTTAAATGGATGCTTTTAAAAACGTGGAATATTGAAAGTTTTAGTAACTAGGCAAAGTTTTACTTTGGCCAATAGAAAAATATTTCGTAACTTTTGATATATAAATCTATATTCTTACCCATCTGTGAGCTTTCCTTGTCCGAAACTCAATCAAATGCCTATAAAGTTTCAAAATTATAGCTCCATAACAAATAATAAAACCAATTTCTCTGATCCAAGGTTCCAACAAACAACGCACAATGGTTGGCTCTAGGCTTCTTATAACAACCTGTAAATAATAATAAAAAAAAGGAAAATCAATATCTATAAAAATGTTTCAGCAGCAGCGTATATCTTTTGTTATGACTTTATTATTCTGATGGATTCTGTTTGTTATACGTCAATGTTTATCGAGATTATTTGCTACCATTTGGATTTATGAGATATTGTGTTTGTGATTGAACTTTTCATATAAAGTATATTGATATTCAATATATTTTTTCTTGGCGGGCTATAGCACAACTTACTGGTGTATGACATACAGTTTTGTGTCGAAATTTTGGCTATTGAACGAATGATGGCAGTCAAACCATAGAAATATTGAGGATTTAATTTGATTGTCTTTACTTTCCAGGTAGGTAGGCGCCTAACTGGACTTTCGGTCTTGGTACCATGGATGGCAAAAAAAAACGACTAGTACTGTGCTCCTACCAAAGATGATATTGGACTTTGCCCTTGGGTCATTTCAACGGAGTATCACACGAGTAACATCTGATACTATTTTAGCTCAGTTCAGATACCTACACTTTCAAATTTTTGAAACCTATATATCCTTAGGATATCAAATCCTGGTAATAAAGTCACTACCACTAAATACTTACGGTACTGTACAAAGAGAGAATTCCCAATAAAATTATTTCTAAAATGGTCCACATACCAGTAGCAATAGCCTGAAAGAAAAATGTAGGTATAACCATTTTTAGTAAATTAAGCAAATATTAAAATGATTCCGTCAAGTAATTCATTTAGGTTGTATTTTATATAATCTAATAACTGCTTCTTACCTTAGTTTTTCGTTGTTTAAAAACGACCATAGCTAATAACAATACGATTGCCATACTAACTAGCTGTATAATGATAATGCAAGTCCTGAGGTTAAAGTCTTCGAGCACCAGGCATACTCCATTTATGCTGCAATGATCGGGACAGTTCAGGGAACACGGTAAACATCTAGAAACAAAAACATTTTGATAAAACCAAAAAAAAAATAATAATCTGTTACTTTCTCAGTTGCTTCGTCTCACTTTTCTAATAATAAAACCTTTCATAATTTAGAATTCAATCAATCTCGGATAATAGACAGCCTACAATATTATTGAAGAGCAATGCATTTTTGAAACGACAGAATCGATATTTTGAAATGAAAAATTTGAAATCTGATTTAGATGGTGCACTTTTCTTTCACAATGTCAATAAAGTAAGTTGATGTAGGTACCTGACGTGAAATAAACAACTGTAATTGAATAGAGTCTATTAATTTTTCATTAAAATTTCCATAATTTTAAACATAAAATGTATTTCGTATCCTCAAAAATTGTGTCTGAATTTTAGATTTTGTGTTCATTGCTTCGCTTGTATTTTTTATACAATAATTTACCTACAAGATGTTCTAATAGTTTCCGATGTGCGATAATTATGTTAAAATGCGATTGCTAACACGTTCGGATATTCTCCCTTCGGGAGGTAAACGAGCGTGCCAGGAGATTTTGTACAAACACGCAACTTGTCTCTAATGTTTTACCTTATTGATTCCGCAGACTCGTTAAAAAGACGATTTAGGGAAAATCACCTCATTATCCTAAATTTTGTTGCTTGCTTTTAAGGCTAGTAAGGCTTTCTGAATTGATTCTTCTGGCATGTAGGTGATATTGGAAAAAATTGAATTATATCACTTACACAATAACAAGATCCTTCTTACAAATATTGGCTTGAAACAACAGTGTAAGTAAATGTGGTTGTATCAGCAGCTTCAGTGGGATACCGCCACTCCTCAAATATTATTGTAAATTTTGTGTTAGTTATTCTAAGTGAAGGCATTTATTATTATTATTATTATTTTTCCATTTCATCACATAAATTGCACTTATGTTTATTCCTTTTTCTTTCCAGCCATCAAGTACACACCGGCGTGTATCTAGGGTGATTTAGAATGATTTTGGATCTTTAGACAATGAACCGTGTTTTCACACGTTGTTTCATAGTACTTTACGCAGAATGTGGGCAGTTTTCAACAGTGTCGTCTTCTAGATGGTCTAGATTTGTTTACTGCTGATATTAGTTTCTTTACTTTTTGTGTTTCATAGATTTTTCTTAGCGGAGTTCCTTGGTGACTCTCGATGTTACATTCTATTGCCAGTTGTAATATTTCCTCGATAATATTTTTTGTTTCGATTAGTGACAGTGTTGCTTTGTTAGGCTCCAGGTTTATATGCACTTCTCCGGCGGTTTGTGCATTGAGTGTTGCTACAATTTGGTATTTGGTATTTTCAACTGCTTCTGGTTCTCCGTTCTTATTTTGTAGTTCTCCAGGATGTAGTTGGCAATACTGTTTAACCATTTCCTTTACTTTTCCCACTTCGGCTACAGTAATTTTGTTTTTCATCATGTTTTTTCGATGTGCTGCCAGTGTGTTTGGATTGGGGTTTTGTTTCGATCTGGGATTCCATTCTCTTCTTATGTTATAGGTTTCATTCAGGCTCCCTGTTCCCAGTCTCTCTATTGTGTATTCATGACACCAAATGATTTCCACACTTTCTTCCTTGGTCCATTTTGTTCGTGCTGTATTTTTTGACTTATTAAGTGAATTGTGTGTTATATTTGGCTCTTCCTGTGTCCTGTGTATACATTCTGCTGTTCTTTCTGCTTCTCAGAAACTGACGCGTATTTTGCGTTACCGTCCGCGAAGGTCGGCTTTTAAGTGCGCTTCTTGCAGATTTTCTTTGTTTTGAGGTTGTACAAGTTGCATTTGAATATGTTCTCTTACTGCTTTCCTTATTTTTTCCACCTCTTCTGTTGTAATTTTGTTCTTCAGTGTATATCTTCTGTATGCTGCTAGTGTGTTTTGAGTTGGGATTTTGTTCTCGCCGTGTGTTTTACGTTTCCTTCAGATTTCCCGATCCCGTTTTCTCTGTCGTGTATTCGTGGCACCATATGATTTCCTTATATTCTTCTTAAAGGGGGTGTGCGCCAAAAATTAAAGTTTTAGTGTAAAAAAATCTAAGAAAAACTGTTCAAACCTCGTTATTCTACGATAAACCATCGCTGAGATATACCACTTTAAAGTGTGGACGACGCTCTCGTGACGTCACGAAAACTTCGTCCAGCGGCGCTAGGCATTGTTAATTTGATTGTTCCCGGCACGCGTGAGTGGTTTTTGTTTAGATTATTGCAGGTAACACAGGAAAAACATTATGTAAATTTAATTAAATCCACTTTCTCGTGCGTCGCTTGAGCTTTCGTGACGTCATAGGGTGAGATGCGGTACCTTCATAGAGCCATATCTGCGGTATTATTTGTCATAGAGGGGTGCGGATTTCACTGTTATTCTTAGATTTTTTTTCTCTTTTTTTTTGAGATGAAGTTGTTTTTTTGGCGCACACCCCCTTTAAGTCAATTTTGCGCCGGTTGACAGAAGTGTGTAAATGTTATTGGTCCCTGTCTCTTTTTTTGGTTATCCTCTAATGCTTTTTGTTTATGTCTTCAATGTGGCTCATACGAGCATTGATTGATGAGATGATTCGGCTTGGTTGGCAGTCTCACGAGGTAGGAGTGGATCAAAATGACCCTTCTCTGGATTACTTATTGATAGAAGAATTACTTTTTGTTGATAGGGGCCTTTGCTCAAATGGATTGATTGATCATTTGTCGTGTTGTGTCTTCATTGGGTGATGGTCGATTTTCAAGATATATTTAGAAATCAAGTTCATACAATTCAGAAAGACCCATGATTTCAAGGCTTGTACCATATACACCGTTCGACTTCATATAGCTACAGTAATTTTCTTCCGTTTTGTAACGTTCCTTCTCAATAAGTGTGTGCTCCTTCACTTCTTCCCAGTTCTTTTCGATATACAAGACGACTTCCTCACGTAACTTCTGGTGGTGTTCTTGATGGTGAATCAATTACTGACTGATGGCTCGATATAAGCAATTTCATTCCCCAGTTATTTTTACTTGTGTGAATATTGAATTTTGGTTCTTTGTTGGTTGAGGATTTCGCTGGGTGACGACCGAAGACACCTCAATTCTCCTGCCGAGCGCGACACCGCTTCCACTGTGGTTAGAGGCCCCGTTTACGCTGTTGCTTTTTTCCGAGGCTTTGCTATTTTTCTCTCAATTTTTTCTGGGTTGTGCTCATTATCCCGGATCTGAAGTCTTTCGTCTTTGGTCTTCACGTGAAACTGCGAGTTTTCACACTACTGGCAAAGTCATGGTTCCAGCCGCTCCTAAAATGGAGTACAAACGCTGACCATATTACCGCTCATTCTGAGACAGACGTGATCTGGATTCCCATTTGGTCCGCGGGAAGTATTTTATTTCCCTCCTATGCATATCTGCAAGGAATTCCCCTATCCGCCACCTGGGGATGCGCTCTCCAGGAGTACAGCTCTCTCGAGAGTTATTATTATCATTATTATTATTATTATAAGTGCATTATGGCGCCTCCTAGACCAAAGCAATCCGGAAGTGAACTAGCCCCACGCTCGAATCTCTGGGTGGAAGCTGGACCGGGGAATCAGGCCTAAGACGTTTGACAGTAGATATCTGCAATATCAGAGGTCTAAACTAATACATAAACGTCGTCTGCAAGTATACAGACCCCACATTTTAGCTCCAGCAGAAACAAAAGTGAACCGTGGATACGAACGTCACACCTGATTCAGGTAAAATTCCAGAATCGCTGTCTTCGTAAGAAGTGACGTATCATGCCAGCGGGAAGAAGCTCTTGAACCCCTGGAGTTTGACGCCATGTGGTTCAAAATAACAACCGAAAGAACCACACAATTCTTCTGCTTCCTCTACAGCTGCGACGATCTGCAGAGAAACCACCCAAATGCAGAAATTTTCATCGCTGGCGATCTCAATGTTCATAACGTCAACTGGTTGACTCATTCAAACAAGACTGATGATCAAGGACGCCAAGCAGAAGACTTTGCGACTATTCGTGGCCTGACCCAGCTTATACGAGAGCCGACCAGAATCCCAGATAAACAGGGTGACTTTGCTAGCCTACTGGACTTGTCCCTTACGACGGATCCCGACTCGTATAATGTTATCGTACACGTACCTTTTAGAATATCAGATCACAAATTAATAATCGCAACTTGGAAACTGGAAATTATAACTTAGAATCCAGTCAGACCGTGCAGGGTTTAGCATTATAGATCAGCCAAAGAAAGACTTCTAAGAGTTCCTTTCTTTGCTTTCTTGCTTCAGAACCAACCATCATTCAACGTGTGCAAACGAGATTTCGGGGTCACTGGTCTGTAGCAAAATTAGACGGTCAAGGCTTCTGTAAACCAAAGATTCGACCGATGACAAAAGAAAATAGTTTCATTGCAGTGACCACAATGAAAAAGGCTAACCTACTGGGACAAATGTTTGCTACAAACTTTACCTTAGACACACAAGGCAAAACGCAACCAATCTCGCCTAGAGAGGAGTTCTCTCTGTGATGCCAGAAATAGTTTTTTCTACTGACGTTTCATAATAGCAACTTTTCGATTGTCATTTCAGTTTTGAAACGACATTCTTTTAGGCACTGAGTGCGTGAAAGTTACTTTTAGGCACTCAGTGCGTAAAAGTGACTTTTGAATGCGTAAAAGTGACTTATGAGTGCGTAAAAGTAATTTTTAAGCACTAGTGCCTAAAAGTGTCATTCATTATTCAGAAATAAAAAACACACTAAACACATATTTGAATTTTGTTTTGTATTTATCATGAATATTGAAAATGGAATTACTGAATTGAACGTTTGGGTTACTCAACACAGAACTTTGTGTTATTACCTACTTTCTAGGATTTTAATTATTGATGTCGAATTTTGAAAAGAAAATCGCATGAAAAGTGTCAGGTGTCAAGTAAAAGCAGGTAACAAAGATTTTGGGTGTAATCGACTTATTCACATGAAATAAAATTGTGTTTTTTTTATTATAAAATGCCAATAGAAA